GTACGTACCGTGATTCTAGCATCGAAAGTACATCAATTTTCCTGCAAAAAAAAAAAACAAAAAAAAAAAAAATGAAAGAAATTTTAAGCAGAAAAACAAAGAGCAAAAAAACAACACCATTAGTTTTCTCTCGTTAAGATTATCGGTCGTTGCAATTATAGTCGCTCATACGCACGATACGCCTTCAGTGTAAATCATGCGGTTACCATTTTGCAAATTAAGTTTCCAACCTTAAGACAAAAAAAAAAAAATGGAATGCGTTCAAGTGAACGAATGTTGTACTTGAAGTAGGCGTATGTGCGATTAAAAAAATACTTTGACAATTTTAATAACTGTATTGTGCATCTTCAAACGTAATTAAGCGACCATCGCTTACATGTGTACATGTGTTCAAACGAACTGAGTTCAAAACGAATTGAAAACGTTTTCAAAATTTTTAATTCAATTTCATTTTAAATATTCGTATCAGCCTAACACTGCATTGTTAATATCTAATACTATCTTCTTCGATAGCGAGCTCATCTACCATTCATAAGAAATTTGTGCAAATTTAAAATCATACCCTGACCTCTTTATACACTTTAGTCAAGTTCTATGCTGCTTAGTGCATTCCAAAAGCATCGTCAAACTTATAATGCGTACAAATTTTAATGGCGAATAGTGGAACTGTGCAACAAAGATATCCTTTTCAAGAATTTCTGTGTGTATAAATTCATATATACAGATATTTACGATTACGTATATATATATATATATATATATATATATATGCACTGCTATGTGCACTTTATGAACGAGGCAATTACTCGTTTCGCAATTACCATTTAGCTTAAAGCATATTTTATGCAGCATATTTATTTTGCGGTTAATTTACGCTCGTTAATTAAACATTAGATTGCTTAATTATGTGACTTCTTATCTATGCATTAAGCATTCTTATTTAAATAACAAAAGATAGCGTTTTACTTATGTACAAAGCACATTTCTACGAGTGTAAAATTAAAAAAAAAAATTGCATAAAACCACCTTAAATGCATAAAAGTAACGAGACCCTATCTAATATATCGCAATTTCACGAAAGCGAAGAACAAAAAAAAAACGCAAAAAACATTTTAATGATTTCATTTCATATGGAGTAAAAGTGAACGTAAGCTTCGTATTCTTTGTCTTTATAAATAAAAAATGGGTTTTTCTTCTTCTTTCTAAAGATAAACGACGTTCGGTAAAACAAAAAAAACAAAAAAAAAAAAAATAGTACTTCTTCTTCTTGTTCTTCCTTTTGATCACGAGAATTGTGTTTCGTTTCCGTAATGATTTTAACAGACGAAGAGGTTGGTTCGCCATCGCCTATAATTTGCTCAAAATTTTATTCGATCGGGGCAGATCATGAGCATTCATCAAAAATAAAAGAGTTGGAATTTTATCCTTATTGCGTACTGCAGTAAACACGGATTTTTCTTATGGCGCGATCAATTGATGGCCACTTTTTTTTCTGGAAATGTATACCCTTCACTGAAGTCCTTTTACATAGTGCATAGTGTTCGGATGTGTGCTAAAGTCAAGTTATCCCACTGTAAATGACAGTGGACTCTTTCCATTCGTTATCAGCTGTCGTATGGTCTCCACGTCTCCAGCGTAGAGTTTTCTTTGGATCGACAAACGCATTTCTTTTCGAATAATCATTAATTAATTAATGGCTCAAATGCGTTTTCTGATTACAAAATCATGGACAAGTATACTTTTTTCTGTCCAATCAGAGAATTTGATCTAAATGAAGTGTGAATAGAACATTCGTAAGCCTAAATATTGTATAAATATAAACTCAACTGAATTCTAATTCAAACTTTCGCTGTTATTTGCAAATAATTATCTTCTATAAGGCGATATGATCGTAGGCACGCAAGTTTACTGTATCTCGCTTTAAAACTTATTTTAAGGATTAAAATCAATAATTATAGCAATGTTTTCTTAAATTCGATTATCAGAGCGTTGTCTTTTTTTCTTGTCGCTATAAGGTCTTCATTGCATATCTTTATGCCCGCATTAGCAAGTAAATTATATTCGATTTATAATGTATGTGAAAGCGTAAATATTCTTCATTAACACAAGCAACGGAAGCGATTAAGACTGTATTTACGAGTAACTGTTGTCCTCCAGATAAAACAAAGCCCAAATGAACTATAATATGACGTATCACCTACTGGTTTGCATGTACTTTGAACAGCGCAATCTATCGGTAGAAATGATTAAGTAACGCAAAGTATCAAGATAACAATTTTCCATTTACTCTTATTAAGTTATTCAGTGTATAAAAACGCCTTTTCGGTATTCATTATTGTTGTTGTCTGATTTGAAGAAATCTGCTGCCGAAACTTATCAAACACTTTTAGAACTTTGGGATGATGCTTCTCCATCAAATCTCAATTGTCGGTTTTGTGCAACTTTTGATGTCAAGGACAAAGAACGACTTGGAAGACTTATTGGACGAGGACCCAGCTCAAATTCTCAAAGAAATTTCGAATAGCTAAACAGACGATAAGTGAATTATTTCTAGGCATTTAGATGCGATGAGGAAGATCCAAAAGGAGGGTAAATGGCTATCATACGAATTGACAGAAAATACCATTACAGTAAGAAAAGTTTGGGTGTGGCATATTCTGACTGGCGATGAAGGATGAATCTACTACAACAATCCCAAGTGCAAAAGTCAAGTGACACCCACACTAAACCCGAACATTCTTGGCCGTAAAGTTTTGTTCTACATATCGTGGAACCAGCAAGGTGTCGTATATTACGAGCTGCTAAAACCAAATGAAACTGTTACTGAACGATATAATGTTGCAAAAAAAGCCAGCAACAGCGGTTAACAGACTAGAGTTGCCAAAGCTCGAATTGAAAGTTGTGCCACACCCAGTATACTCAAAAGACCAACGCCTTCTGATTATCACTTGCGTACAGCATGACTTGATTGGTACGCGATTCCGATATGTGGCGGAAATGCGAAAATGATGGATCGCTTTGAAACCAATACCGTTCTCTTGACACGATATGCGGCTAGAAAGGTAGGAAAAAGATAATGTAGAAAATAATGCAATAGATTTTAGTTAATACATATATATATTGTACCAATTTTTCTCAATAAGTGCCTTTTTCAATTGTGAAAAATTATCACTATACATGCAAGTACCTAATATAAATACAACTTTGTTAGGAACATATCGCTTTACATAATATTTATGAGAATTATTCTTATTATTTTTTTTTAAAACAATTGTGCTTTGAAATGAAATTTTCTCTGATGACTTCAAGAGGAAGTCACGATACACGAGATAGTCAAATTTCGTGAGTTATTTGATGATATCAGCATTTTGTCGTATGGCAAGTTGGACTAACTAGCAATTAACAATGGTTCTCCGGTTCTGGCGGAATGGGATAAGACTTAAGAAGTTATTGTAAGAGTTTTTCAAACTTTATATACAATCCTTATATCCGGCATTTATATGCATACTATAGCATTGCATCTGATTCAATTCAGTTACAGTATGACTGATCCAATAGATATATCTATACACATATGGCTTTGGAGCCCAGTAACACCATTGGCATTATATTTTTTGTGTGTTTTATTCCGTCCACATATCTACATGTGTTTGCAATAATTGGTATCATCATCTGTCAATTTCCATCGTTAATAGTCTGGCTACGCCGTCTATGTTTTTATGGATTTCAAAGCGGAACCCGAGTATTTTAGCAGTGAGTCAGCAGTGAGTATAACATATACTCTGATACTGATGTTCACTATCATTATAACAATAACTGGACTAAGTTTTTTTGTGGGCAAATTTGGTTTTGTACGATTCGATTATTTGGTATATCCATGCATAACATTGCACGTCCCTGCGAACACCACGCATGTATATGCATTCATGGTAGAAAGAACTAAAAATTAAATTATTATTAATAAAAAACTCTAGAGCTGGTCTTGTCATTGTTGCTTACACATCCCTTTCGGCATAACGTAGCGTTCGCTGAGCTGGGCGAACTAATTCACAATATTTGCGTTAGTCAGAGGTATGCCACGCTATGTGAACTGCTACTACATTTCCCCTTTGATAGTAAGTCAAAACGCGTAACTCTTTGCTATTAATCCTCCATTTACTCTTTCAGTCTTTCAGTTGGTTGGTTGGGGCATGCCCAAGTGTGCTTATGTCCTTCTTCATCGTCCTATGTTGGAAATGTTTATTTTCATTTTTTAGATGTTTTAATACCAAATCACATCAAAATATGTATTGATTACAGACGAACTGATTATGGGTCGCATTATTGGCGTTTAATCGTTTCTATTACTGCAATCTCGTGTAGTTTTATCATGTTTTTTATACTTGGATTTTATTAACTTTTTATAGCTACTTTTTGTGCACGTCGATGTAATAATGATTTCCGTTCCGTTTTAATAAATTTATTTCTTCAATGCCGACGCAATATGCTCAACCCGATGCATATAAATGAATTGTAATTGTGGACTCGACAAACGACTGAAAATTATTGAAATTTCAAACTGATTAAGAATATCGAAGGGGTTCGTTGGTTGACATATTTCATAAAAATAAAATAAAAAAATTCTTTACACAAATCATTTTAAAAATATTAAAAGGATGAAATCGTTTGTTTATTTATTTATTTATTTTTTTTTTTTCTTTTTTTTTATTAATTCATTTAAAGCTATAATTGGGTTAAATCATCAATTATATTTAATTGTATACTTGCAAAGGCCATGAGCTAATAATTCCGATTAATCGTGTAAAAGAAAACAATAAAAATTATTTAAATACCGACGCGTATCTAATTTCAATAACGTCGATTACACAGACTATTAATTAACCTTACTTTAAAAACATAATCCTTAAGTATATTTGTTTGGTGCTGAAGTTTGAGTGCGTGTTGTTGCATAACAAAAAAAAAAAAAAAAAAAAAAAAAAAAAAAAAAAAAAACCATAATTTTAACCATCATGGTTAAATATAACTGATATCGTATCTATTAATGAAATTTTGCATTTATCATAAATTTCTTCACAGCGTCCACCTCTTCGCCCCAGAGTTTCAGCATTCAAGTAAATAAACGCGACTGGAGAAATTGCATCATTGCGGCGCGTCATTGAAGGTCTGCAAAATTTTTAATTACAAAAGCGTACTTGTATGTATGTATGTATGTATGTAAATTAATATGTTACGCACGTTAGGATGATATGCAAAAGTTGTGATAGCAAATCGCCGCTTTCATCGTCAATAGGTTCAGCAGCGTACTCGCAAATGCTACGTAAAAAACATATGCGTCCGTTTAACGACCATCTAAACAGTTTTTTAATTAAACATCAAGTTGAAAGAAATAGGTTTTAACTTACTCCATATATTATGTGATTGATTACTAACCGTTCTAAAATCATTTCAATTGCTGCATACAGTAACCAACGATGAGTAAACACATTCTGTTTATATTGATTTTTATAATTATCACCTGCATGCAAAACATTGTAAACGTTTTTATGTTCGGCCGTATTGTTAGCTATTTGTCTGATTCGATGATTTATACTGCGTCCATGTATACGTAATGGTTTAATATTTTGATGAAAATGTTCAGCACGCTCAGGTAAGAAATATTCAGCTTTCAACACATAGCCAGATGTTACAGATCCTAAATGTAAGTTAACGGCTGGCAAACCAATTCCACCGATAAACTGATAATCAGTTTAACAACAATAAAACAAATAAAAAATGCTTTACATTTCTTTTCGTAGCCAAAGATATATAAGAAATAATTCTTATATGCATGAATGTATATGTACGCATTCTTTAAACAGTAGTACATCATCAATTATTTTAACTAATCCTTATAAACTAAAACATTTTCACCGCTTAACGGAGATTATTGTACCAAATAATTTTCAATATTCATAGGGAAATCAGACAGACCTACATCGTATAGACCTATTCGCGGTTAGCATAACATTTTAAAAGGAGACAACGTCGTGAAGCGTAGCATAATTGTTCCTAATTACGTCTACAGATCTAGTGCAAGAGTTGCCACATAATCCGGATTTACTATTACTACAAAAATTGTGAGGAAAGCTGAAGCTCCAAGCAACAAAATCTATTCTTTTAAAATTTACTACAAACCCCGATCAAGAATATCTAAAAATGTAGTATAAAAATGATTCTAATCAACCAGATAGTGACTGCTTAAATAACTAAATTCTGGTTGAGGTTATGTGCGAAAATAACTTTTTCACTTCTTGTGTCTCCCTTATGCATTGTCAATGATTGCAAAGAACTTCAATTGATAAAAATTTGGATGAAAATCAAATGATCTCCAAATCCTAAGGAACTATCTACCTGTTGTATGTACATCATATACTAATACTAAGACATGTTTGCTTATATTCAGCTGAGAAAGTGATATTTATTTTATTTTATTTTATTTCTCCAAACGAGTTAAAGGAACGTTTCCAAAAATTGACTTTTTTAGTCAAATGGATCGAATAGAGTAATGCTAAAAGTCGGGAGTTGCCAATCACCTTTGTGAATACAACGGGTAGCATTCAAATGACATTCCTTTTTAAGAGTTCGGTTAGACGGCAGCATTGCATAAGGCACCATTTGACAATAATTTCACATAACTCAAACTTATTACGGAAAGCTATTTGTGCATGCTTTCAGATGTACTCAACGAGCAGATAGACATTGCAGATGCTTGCCTGTGTGTTTTGACAATGCTTTGGGCGCGTCCAAATGAGGAATCGAGGAATGCGCCTACATAAATTAAAAATGACCTGAACACTCTGTGCGAGGACTCTGCAGAATGTTGAAATTTTTAGTAGAAAAATCGAAAGGTGGCTATACCAGCTTAGATAACTATACGGAAGAGTCGAAAACTGTGTAGCCACTGCCGAAAATATCATTAAAACACAAAAAACAGATGACGTTGGCCTAATATCGAATTAAGTTTAGAGAGACAACTGTCCGAAGAAAGTGCTTATCAACGGACAGAGAAAAAGGCAAACACGCTTAAATCGATTAAGAATTTAATGCCGATCAAGAACATCGGACAAGGACCTGGGAAGTTTTCTTCTGGGTGTTCCAAGTGTTTTGACAAGATCAATATAACCGCATCCGTCAGTGATGGGTACAAAAAGAAACTATAGGTTTTTTTTATTATCCTTGAAAGCTGATGTAAAGTAGTAACTCTCACCTGTACTCGGGTGGGTGCTGTGGGAGGAAAAACTAATGACCGTAGCTGACGTCTGTAAGTACTTTTTATGTTAATTGCGCTTTCCACAGTTATTGTTCGCATTAAAATCACTAAAACTAATAGAAATGTTTTGCTTACAACTTCTCTACACATGAAATCCATTTATTATTATTAACTCTATTCAGTCTTTCTTTCTTAGTTACTACTCTTATTATTACATTAAATAGCAATTCCGTCCGATGAATAGCAGCGATATTTGTTAACTGAAACTTGAAAGATTTAAATCGATTGTTGAGGCACTAAGAGATGAATTTTTGTTAATCAACTCAATAAATTGAAAGCATTTTCACATAGAGCGAGACTGTAATTTATTGAATTAAACAAAGCAGAGAATTCTTTTTTTAATGGATATTAATAAAAAAAAAAAAAAAAAATAAAAATAAAAAAAATAAGAAGAGATCACTTGCTTATTGGGTTGTGAAAAAGTTATATCACACATTTGCTAAGATATTTATTACTTATATCATTAATGTAAACGAAATGTTTAATGCTTCTGCAATACCTGCTGCTGCTGTATAAAGTTACGCTGAACTTAATTAATGCGTTCAATCAATCTCATTTATTCAGTTTATACCTTTGCTTTTTAATTTCACCAAATTTTTCCATCATCGGACCATTTTGCCAATTGTATGGCAAGTTACGTCGTTATTATAAAAATAAATGCCGGAGAGATCCAATTGCATCAAACCGCCTGATATTTGCATTCGGCGATGCATTATCCCGCATACAAACGCAATATTTACCTCGCTTCTGACCTTCCTTCGACTTGTTCCACCTCCTTTGCCCTTTGCCTTTTAATATCATGATAACAAATAACAAATATGGACATAGGTGAGTAATCGAGACATTTGCATGCACGCAAAATGTTCTCTTTGGCAAATCCGTGCAATGTTAGTATGGTAACGTTATGAAATATGTATGTCGACTTTAAATTTTCTACACCCTACCTTAAATTGTTTGCTTAAGGAAACGATAATAATGCTAATAAACGGTACAGTTGCCGCGTTGGAAATTTGGATACAATTTATAAAAGCCTTTATCTTATTAACCGGTAGATTTGGAGAATTTAAAGCATTGAATAACTGTATTCCGATATAATATTATAACATTTAGCCGTGGTTTCTGTCAAATAGTATAGTTGCATACAAGAGGCTTTATAAAGGAGTCGGCCGGTAGTCATGTTCATTTTTTATGTTTTTTTAGAGAGGCGAAAATCGATATGGGAAGCCTGCAGGGAAAAATCAAAAGCGCGGTTACTTAACATCGGAAGTACTAATCGCAATTAGACGACTGACTCTCTCCAGACACCTAATAATAACAACAATAATGATAATAATGACGTTATACTGAAAGTGATAGTGCTTATGTGATTATGTGTTAAGTAGGCGAACGAAAAATGAAACGACTACACTCCGTATAATCATTTTAACGCCGTCCCCTTTTCTGTGATCGTAGCGCGTAAACAAGTAAAGAATTTATATATCACCCCACCATTATGCTTTTCGCATTCCACTCTCCAAATTCTTCATATCGCTGGTATTATTAAGAAAACCTTAATCCGCCCGGGTTTTAAGTGACGTGCAAAAACGAAAAGAAAAGAAATTTTTGTTAAGAACAACATAATTGCGTTCAGTCTATGCTCCACTGCGGCCTTCTTCTCTGACCAATTTAGACCATTTTCGATATCAACCTGCGTCCAAGTACTTCCAATGTTTCTATCAAATTTGAAGTCGATATCTTTAGATTTGCGATCAGGAGAGTGCCAACAATTGAACATCACACAGGTAAACAGACGCACAGACATGGCTAAATCAATTCAGAATTTCACGCAGATCAAGAAGATACAAAAATTTTTTGGGGTCTCTCTGATGTTACAAACATTATGGAAAAAAACGAAATGAGTATCTATGGTGGGTATAAAATTAATAAAATTTACAATAGAGACAATCAATCATCAGAGCTATAGTTTATAAAGATATATTTACTGAATTGTCAAGAAATATATGAATTTTGTTTGTTTGATTGTGTTGAATTTAAGATAATGAAAAATGCGATACCCTTCGAGAAGCTCTTAATTACATGATATTTTTGTAGGAATTATTTCTTCATTTTGCTCCACACTTTATAAATGGAATGAGAACAATTTTATGTACTCGAACGTTGATTATCTTATAACTGAGTGCAAATCAGGTGAAAGCACTGACATTACATTCTCTAATAGAAAAACACTTGTCCGGCAACAATTGATGTTAACAATTAGAGCTGCATGTATATATATATATATAATAGCCTAATATTCTTAAAGCCAAATGAGCCAGTGATAATATACATATGTTTACATAATTAGGCATTAGTTTGCTTCTGTTAATGAGTCGTAGAGTTAAAGTGCTTTTCACTATTACAATTATACAAAATTGTTGAATGTAATAATCAACATCGACACCGACACCGACCGAGAAGCGTGAACGATGTAAACTTTTATAAAACGCTAGACACACACACGACTCGTGTGAAGAAAAACATTGTAACGGAATTTGTGTTGAAATGCATTAAAGTGTACAATCATTTCTAATTTAACTTCATTGAAGATGCAAACGATAATGACCACAACATACCCATATTACTAAGGCGCCTACATATCTGCAAACATATATACTATATTATATTATATTATATATATATATATATATACATATATATATATATATACCTAACCGTAAGCGTAATCGGGATCAGTTAGTTATATCTTTAGTCCCGTATATAATAGTTATTATCTTATATAGTCAATAATTGAATGCCATGACTTCTTGCTAATCTTTTACTTAATAGGATTGAAAAATTGGGCTTAAACTCTAAATACCATATTGCATAGCGTTAGTGCAACGTGTAATGTAATAAGTAAATAAAATACGAATATTGACATATATTGATACACACACTCTCTCTCTCTCTCTCTCTCTCTCTCTCTCTCTCTCTCTCTTCGTCTCCTTCTGTGCTTGCGTGTGTACGAGTTGATAGTGAAGGAGAGAAATTTCAAAATATCCTCCTTCCCAAACCGAATAGTAAGATACTAACAATAGCGAAAGAAAATTTCAATTTCTCTACTATTAGCTGGTAAATTGCCTGACTAACAGATCATCCTACGTATATCCGATTATTCTTTTTATAGAAACAAACTTAACGTACTTACCTTAGCAAAGGACATAAAAAAAACCGCACATGTTTCGCAATTCCCTCTAGACAAAGCAAATATGGACATGTGTGAGCAGACATATATATATATATATATATATATATATATATATATATATATATATATATAGCGTGATAATGTTAAACAACAGCATCGGCATTATTACTAACGTAGGTCTTCTGCATAGCAGAAGAATCATTGGGGTCTAAACACACATAACACTGCTATGTTTGTTTAGTACACCGCACTCAATGGACACATTGATAAAGGCAGATACATACATACATACATACATACATACATACAAAACATACAAAACATACAAACATACATATTCATATGCAGAGCACATATGTGATATTGTCATTGTTTGTTTGTCGCTTTTCGCCCTTATACGCTTTCACTTGCAATCGTTTACGGCAGTGATTCTCAATCTCTGCACGCTTGCTCGATACCATTAGAAATGTGGAATGTTTTCAAAATTATTAGCGGAAAACAAGTAATTTTTTTAATCAAAATCGAAAATTCTTATAAATTTTTTTTATATATATTTGTCAACTCTCTCTTTAAGCAATTTTTCAATACTGAATAATGGAAATGTTTTTGATATTCACATTCAATTCTGCTTTTATGGGGAAAAGACCGCGCGCACAAAAATCAATAACATAAAAATCTGAACGTTAATCGCTATTATATACAGTCAGCCGATTTAACGAACACTATTAAGATTACCAATTCAAATTACGAAATTAGAGAGAGAGAGAGAGAGAGAGAGAGAGAGAGAGAGAGAGAGAGAGAGAGA